TAATAATAAAAAAAACAAGTAAGAGACACCGACAAGACCCTTCTTTCCAATACTCGAAAATCACTTTCACTCCGCCCTGCTAGCTTTCCACAAATGTTTAGCCATCATTAGCATATATGCTTTCCGCCTTTCGGCTTTCGGCTGGCTGGGAAATAAAGAAAAGCAGAGCACACACTGCATTCTCGGGAAATGCACTCTCTGGGTCTAAATATAAAAATCAGTTGCCATTCAAGCGGCAAATATTTTGGCAGGGCAAAAATTTTGAGGCAGCCCAGAGGCTGGGAAAACTGTCAACACTTGCGAGAGGGAGGAAGCTTGAGGAAGACTTGGCCGAAAGGCTATGGAAAAATTGAAAGAAAAAAATAAAAATAAAATTATGCGGCCTCAACAGGCTGAGGAAAATCTGGGAAAAACGCACTGGAAAAAGAAAAAACCTCTGAAGGTTCAATCCCCCCATCTCATTGCGAATTCAAATCACACCAAATTCTAAAAACACACAAACCACGCAAATCGCCGTCGAACCAAATAAAAATGCGAGTACATAAAAATAATAATAAAAATAAAATAAAATAACCAACGGAGAGGGAGAGGGGCAATGAAAGCGAAAATAAACCCAAGGCGAGACGGGCTGAAAATTTCTTGTCAACGGGCGAGAAAATTACACAAAGCTGCTGGCTGCCTAAAAAAAAAAAAAAAAAAAAAAGGAATGGAAAGGAAAACAGAAAACCAGGACCTTGCCTTGCTCCCCCGAAAAGGACTCGGCGGGGACAAAGCCAACAAGCAACATTTTGTGCCGGCAAAGCAAATTTTCGGTGGGTTTAGATGAGTGGGTGGTGGGTGGTTGGGAAAACTTGGTGATACGGCAAATTTATTTCAATGTGTGTGTGTTGACTCAGACACACAAATTACGGCTGACAAAATGAAAAAGAGTCCAGAATTATGAGAGGCCCCTCCTCCTGCCAAGCCACTGTAAATCATTAGCTTGCAGCCATTTTATCGAAATTTAATGCTTAACTGTTGGAAAATGTGAGGAAATCAGGGAAAAGCGTTGACTTGAGAAGAGGTATTTACTTTATTTATATTATTTATTTATTTATTTAGTATATAATTAATTCACTGCACACTAGACTTAAGCCTATGTAATTTGTAAAGCCTTGCGGTTTGTTCTTTAAATCGATATTTATCGATATTTTTATATGATAACTTTTTAGAAAAAAATCCATATTACAAAAATCTGTAACTCAGCCAAAAAGGCATTAAATTCAATTCGGTTTTCTTTTTTATCTTAGTTTGTTGATGGTTAATAAATCTGCATACTCCATTTAGGGTTTTTTCTAATTTCATTTTTTGTTAATTTTTGACTATTTTAATGATGTAACCCCTTATCAAATTTTGAAAAAAAAATTTTGAAAATTTTTTTTTCTTTGGAAAAGGGGTAGATGGACTCGGCTTTTGATGCTGATCAAGAATATATGTATATGCTTTATGGGGTCGGAAATGACTATTGATCAAGCTAGGGGTATTGGGGATAGCAAAAAAAATATCAATATATCGATTCTGTCTTTAAATCGATATTTTAATGTGATATATCGAAACAGAATAATCCGAAAAATAGAATAACAAATTTAATAACATTTATCCCATGTTAAATGCGATATTTTTCGATATTTAAAATCGATTTTTATAATTAAATATGTATATATTATCGATAGATATAATTATCTATAATTCTTTAGAATTTCTTTTCCTCAAAGTCTGCTCATAAATATGACATGGATATTAATGCTTATATCCCTTAGTAATAGTAACTTAGCTTTCATTATTATGAATTTTGCAGTTGATGTATGGATTCCGGTATCTATACCTGCCCATCTGACTAACCCATTTCCGACTATCGCGAGTCTCTGGTGTATGATTTATGGGAACATTCGCTTACTTTCGGCAACATTGTTCCACCGGAGACTCCGGAGAATTCTCCGTTCTTCGGCAGACACACACACTCTGTGGCGCCGCTTGGAGGAGATCATATCATATCGTGTTACTTCCCGCCGTCTGTCTTTCCCAGCGCCTTTTTTCATTCCGTCTTCCTTGTTTGCAGTCTCGGTGCCTCCCACTTTTTTTCTTGTATGGAAAAAATTTAGACATTTTGTAGCCAGTTTATAGATGGTATGACATGGTCTGACTGTGGCTGGAGTTGGGACCGGGGCTGGATCTGGGACTGTGGCTGGGGTCTGGCCTGGCCGCGCGCACTCTCTTCCCCTCGGCAATTGAGGCCTGTTTGGTTTTCGACCATAATTTTGGTGCCGTTTTACAACAAACGGGCACATAACTCCCAGAGCCGTCGACTTGCGAATCCGGGCGGACTTATGGCAGTGGCAGTGCCTCTGGACCAGTCCGGTCTCGGTGCCAGTCTCCCGGCTTATCTGTCGGCGCCGGGCCTCTGCCTTGGTGCAAAATGATTTTCACATGTTTTCCTTTCGAGCTGTGAGCTGTGAGCTGTTTCGCACATCTGCCTTACCACTTTTCGTTTTCCATTTTCCATTTTCCATTTGCCATTCTCCGTTTCTCGTTTCTCGCTCCTCCATTCTCCACTCTGCAATCTGCATTCTGCATTCTGCATTTCCCCAGATAGCTTCCTCCGACTGTGTTGTTTGGCTTTTAATTAAAATTGCAGCTAAATTATGAACTTTTCTTTTCTCGACCGCCTGCAAATTTCTTTCCGCCGCTGCTGGGTCTGGGTCTGGGGCCTTGGCCCCGTCCGCTCGTATATCAAAAGCTGCTTGGGGCGTAAGTATGTGCAAATTTTCCAGATTTCCCCCGGAAAACGTGTAATGGGGCCGGCCGCGTCAAATGAACTGTGAAGGAAAATTCGCGTAAAAATGCGTTTTATTGTTGTCCAATTAAGTTGATCGGAGCTCTGCCTCCCATCTGAACCCATTCGATCCGCTTGGTTTAATTTTGGAAAATTTATGTGCTACTTTGGCTAATCGCCGGCAGCTTTCGGCAGTTTTGTGTCTGTTTTTTGGGCTCTGATTTTTTTTTTTTGAATTGGTTGTGGAATTTATGGACCCCGCTTTCCAGGCTTATTGTTCCGCCATATCAACTCAATTACAATGCGTGTCAATGGCAATCTGATGACAATGGGGGATATATAGATATATACCTATAGATTATTATTATATTATTAAGTGTGATGTGGGACTTTCATATCGAGGTTAGAAAGAAGGCACAATGGTCTCTAGACCATCCACTTTCCTTGGGGGGAGGCAGGGAATCAATACTTGGGTCACTCAGCGACCTAGAAATACTCTTCTTTAAGGCACACCCCAGCCAAGTCTCTTCGCCCAGCCCCAAAGTCGCCATGCTCGAGTGCTCCCTGGTTCCTGGGAAAGTCGAGTGTCAAGTAAAAATAAAATTCATTTTAATTTGTGCAACGACCACAACGAGAAACGAGCGATGATGACAATATGGATGGGCCAGGAGTGGCCTGGGGTGGGGCGGTGGTAGCACATGTTGTGCGCCTGCTGCCAGGATAAGGTTCCTCGATAAGTATTCCGGGGAGCTGCCTCCAGCTACAGCTCCAGATGCCGTCTGCCTTGGGGGATCCCATTGTTGGTGCTGTTGTTATTATTTGCCAAATAAGCGAACGGCCATCCGCGTTGTCTTCCCGCTACTCCTCCTCCTCCTGTCGAGACAGCTCCTTTGTTGTCAGCCTCTCCGGCCTGTGCCCGCTTCCCCTCTTGGCTCGTCGATGATGCAGACATAAGATATGAAAAATATGAGGCAACAGCAATCACAATAGTTGCACCAGTCACAAAAGGCAATCACCAGACCCATCCCCATTCCATTCCCCATCTCTGGAACCCCGAATCCTCGACAGGCGCTCATGCGTGGGCATTGGCGGACAATCCCTGGAACATTCATTTATGAAGGAACAGCAGAGGGCACGCTGTTAGCTATTAGCTAATGCCCCTGGCAAGTGCAGTCATTTTAGGGGAATATTGAAAGAAGGTTTTCTTAGTTTCTTAAAATAATAATCCTATTTATAAAACAGGAATTATATTTTTCTGAAATCTTTGAGTAGTTCTTTTCGCATGACCCCGACTGTACTCACTCGCACAAAGGGCCACGTGTGTGTGTGTGTGTGTGTGTGTGTGTGTGTGTGTGCGAGTGTGTTTGTGTATAAATCACGCTTAATGCCTTTGCCAGGGCCAGCGGGTGAGAGTGGAAAAGTGGGAGAAGGGGAGAAAGCCGGTCAGAAGGCACAAGTTCAGGGAAAAGCGAAGCCAACGCTGGACAGACTCCCTGGAACACCATAAATTGCAGTCAAGTGCTGCCAATTAGTTGCTAAAATTATTTTATGATATTGTCCAACTAATTAAATGGACATTAGAGGGCGAGCGGGCGGACGGGACTGTGTGGGTTTGCAAAATCGATAAACAACAGCGCCAAAATAAGACCATAAATAAATATAAAAAAGGAATGGTGGGCCACGTCCCAGGATCCTTGCAGCATTTTTCATCAATCAAGGCAGCAGGAGCAGCAGCCACCATAATCAATCATAGCCAGGGGAAGCTGCCCCCGCACCTGTCCGAAAAATAGAGCACATAACAGTTTCCTATCATTATTAATTATTTATGAAACGGGGCGGCCCACACTCACACCCACACCCGCCCTGAAGGCAGGCCGAGAAAAATGGCAGCCAGGGGCTGCTGGGAAGGACTGCCATTAAATGATTAGGTTTCTTCGGCTCCACTGACCGGGGCCGTTATCCTTGATAATGGCAAAATGGCCAAATAGGAGCGGGTTAAGCTCGTTAGGCCATGACGGTAATTTGGCGGGATGGGCAGGGCAATTTGTTGACACTCTATGCCCAGGATCCTGCCAGCTGAAGCGAAGATTATGGATAATATTGGGGATATTTAAACCCGTTTTATATTTACTATACTTTTGCCAAGGAACCCCGCTAATCAATGAAATATCTTTTTCTTTTTTCACAGTGTGCCAGTGCAATGGCCATGCCCGTCGCTGCCGCTTCAACCTGGAGCTGTACAAGCTGTCCGGACGCGTGTCCGGCGGAGTGTGCTACAACTGCCAGCACGACACCACGGGTCGCTACTGCCACTATTGCCGCGAGGGATACTACCGAGATGCCACCAAGCCGCCGAATCACCGCAAAGTCTGCAAGCGTAAGTGCTGGTGTCCTTAGTCCTGCCTAGAGTCCGGCGTTGATTGAATAAAGGGCGACACTAAGTCGTTGTTATACACTTCTTTTAACGGGGGAATATAGAATTTTCTAAGGGGGTTTGTTTGGAATTTGTTTTAGGTATAACTAAAGGATCTATAAGGACACTTTCGTAGGGAATTATTTTAATAATAGAATATCTAATAGAGCCCCCAAATATCTCCTCCATTGAATAACTCCAGTCTAAACAGCTTTCTTTAGAACTAGAGCTCTTTCTAGCCGTGGAAAGGGTATTCCTGTAATCGGTTAGCCTCTCCAAAAGTCCTTCCTCGCCTCTGGTTTATTGATAACAAGTCTGTCATCAATCAGCGGTCTCGTAAGCCGTCTGTCAGACAGACAGCTGGGCGGTTAGATAGATGGACCTAATGAGGACGACACTGACAGCCCTTGTCTCTTCCTGCTCCTTAGGCTGCGACTGCCACCCGGTGGGCTCCACGGGCAAGACGTGCAACCACCTGAGTGGCCAGTGTCCCTGCAAGGAGGGCGTCACCGGACTGACCTGCAACCGCTGTGCCCGGGGCTACCAGCAGACGCGCTCTCACGTGGCGCCGTGCATCAGTAAGTTCTCCAGCTTCTAATCCTGACCAGGAACTAAACCCTATAATCCCCGTGCTTTTCACAGAGGTGCCCACCAATGCCAACATGATTCAGGCCGAGAGTGCCGGCGGCGGCGGAGGAGGCGGCGGCACAGGCGACTACAAGGATGGAGGCGGTTCACAGGCCGAGGAAATGAAAAAGTGTAAGTGTACACTGGGAGAAACCCAGGGGAGTATCTCGATATACTCAACCCTTCTCATCCACAGACTGCGGCAAGTGCAAGGCCAGTCCCAAGAAGCTCAATCTCAACAAGTTCTGCATGGAAGATTACGGTGAGTGGTGCCCTCTTAGGGATAGTCAAGAGGTGGCTCTAATCCTGGCCTTGTTTTAATCATCCCTCTTGCAGCCATCCTGGCCAAGGTGATTGGACACGACCGCGCCTCTCAGGACATCAGCACCGAGAAGTTCTCCATTGAGCGGCAGAACGAGATCTACAAGTACGAGATCAACATCCAGACGATCTTCAAGCGGAACCCAATGTCGGGCACGACGAGCTCCCTGCTGGGACGCGGAAATATGATGCTGCTGGTGCCGCGCAAGAGCATCGAGTGCCAGTGTCCCAAGATCAAGCTGAATAAGTGAGTACCTTTTATAGAAAATATCGATTATATAGAAAATCAAAGGACACAGAAAAAGAACCCACTAAACCCCCGGTAAACCTATGTTCTATCCTTCTTTCACAGATCATATCTCATCCTTGGACGCGACTCGGAGGCGGCGCCCGGCTACCTGGCCATCGGACCCAGCTCCGTGGTCCTGGAGTGGAAGGACGAGTGGTCGCTGCGCATGAAGCGCTTCCAGCGAAGGGCACGCAAATGCAGTTGAATCGAGCCGGAAACGGAATATGTCAGAGCGGATTTCAATTTCACACACTTGGCTAGGTATCGGTTTTTGTATAAATTGTACAGTTTACTCAAGTTTCTGACCTTCTTCGGCATAATGCTATAAATTAATCTCAGTCCCAACCCGAACTCCGACTCGACTCAAGTTGAGCCCCAGCATCTCGTTCGAGCCACACTATATAATCCTATATAATTCCTGCCTAGATAAGCTTCCACCTGCAGTGGCGTTTCTAGTCCATAAAACGCTCTGCACACTCTACACACTCTACACACTCTACACACACATACTGCACACTTCCGACTTCCGACAGACATAAAAATCAGACATAGATCCCCCGAAAAAAGGGGGGTCTCTTTATAAATCGCCAAATGCTAATTACAGTTACCAGCGTGTCCCCAGCAGTTATGGCCATAAAAAGCAGTTATAACAGCGAAAAAGAGCCAAAACATTGAGGGAAAAGCGTCACATGTGTGACAGGGGCGTGGGGCATGTTTCCACAGAGGGGGGGCAGAAGGGGTAACAGCACAGGCAGCACATAAGTGCAGTCATAAACCAACAACACGAGCCTTGACCAGATGCCAGCCACTCGAAACACGCACATGCAACCAGTGGCGTGCCGCAAAGGGGGGGAGACCCTAACAATATTATATTTAAAGCTTTAGTTGCTTAGTAATATTATTTCCAAAAATGTCAAGCAAATTGCTCAATTTTAAATGTTCAAAAAATAACAAAAGAAACATAATTAAGCCCTGGAAAACCTTCAATTTAAATATTTAATTAATTAAATCCTAAAGAAAAACTAAAGCAAATTGACGTTTCAGATATCGTTTTCTATGCTAAAATATATTTTTTTGAAAATTAAATCCAAGTCGAAAACTAAAACCTATTAAAGCTGCTCCATTCTATAAATTCAATTCAATTTTTAGCATTTATTTTTGCTTCTAAGAAAAATGTAGAAAAAAAGCTACACACATTGTTGTCCATAGTTTATATTCCCTACAGTTTTTTTTTTTTATATTTTCGTATACGTTTCTCAAGAGTTTATGCAAACAGTTTTGGCTGTAATTATGCACATGTTTATTGACAGTTCGCCGGTTGATTTTTCACGCGCTTTTGCATAACAATTTGTTTGATGAATGCATCAATAAATGAAAGGAAAAAAGAAACAAGGCGACGAACACGCATTTAAAATGCATTTATCTGGATTTAATTTTCGATTTGAATTATGCATGCAAATTGCAAACGCAACCTGTCTCCGGACTCACTCGGTCTCAGTCTCCGCCGCGAAGGCGTCAAGAGCGAGGAGCGAGGTGTTATTTGTTATTTGTAACTCGTTTTTCGAGCCCAGTGTAGGCCACGCAGACTTGAGGCCCGTTACGGGGGAGCCTCTGGGTACAGTGGGGTCAGCTAATAAATAAAATCAAGTAAAAAGTAAGCTAGCTACAGAATATTTTATAAAATATGTCATATTCCACTTCAATTAATCCTTTACCGATTTAAATAGTTATTTTTTTTAGCTTTCAGTTTCAAGCTTAACTTGGAATGTTCCCCTTAGCCTGTGCCCACTGTACCGATCGATATGCATCACGTTTAGCAACAACAAAGCAAGAGACAAGCTGAAATACGTTACTCAAATTAAACAGCAGAAACAAACAGAAGATTGAGCTGGAGAATTACACTGCGAGAAATTGTGACGAAACTATATTTCAATTTACCAAGATTGAGCGAGAAATTCTATTCAACCCTCTGTTTTTTTCATATATCAAGTCTAGAGAGAATTAAAATTAAAATTAAATATATAAATTCTAGAGTCAATAGCCCCATAATTTGTGTAAAAGCTAACTTCGTGGGCCGAGCCCCCACACACACGCTCAGCCACCCCACACGCCACTCTCCCCTTGCCACTCGCCACTCGTTACTCTTCACTTCTCCACGCTTCCACTTTTCCAGTGCAGTTACACACATTTTTTCTTTTTTTTTTTTGTTCAATGTTGCTGCGGATTAAACATGTTTCGGACTCAAAATGTAACATGATATATGACAGCCAAGTGTCGAACTTGATAAATGTTTTAATGAATTTATTTTCGTGTTTATGTTCTGTGCCTGCCAGCCATCGAATCCGTCGAGTATCGAGATCTTTAGCCGACTTTAGCCACGACACCTACAGCCGCAGCTCCGTCTGTCTCTCTGTCCGATTCTGATGTCCAATGTCGCTGCAACCATTCCCAGTGCCATTCCCATTCCGATTCCCACTCCCAAGCTATTCAGGTCTGACCGTGACCATGATGTATGATAAATCAAAATGGGGCCAGCATGTGCAGGGAGCGGCGAGCATGGAGAGTCGGACAGTTAACATGCTGCGGCATTTAAGCCGAGAGCCGTGTTTGCATTCACTCTTCTACACCCACTCCCGCCCCAGGGACGCATAATTAGCCCGGACTCTGGCATCTGGCCCGGTGATCGGGATAGGGATCCAGGTAACTGGCCAACGTGGCGTATGAGTCACGAGCATACACGTGTGACCACCGCAAACATGGCTAAGAGAAGGGGGTAAGGGGGCGGGTGCGCATGTCCTGCAGCCAGATAAATGCAGAATTGTCAACTGTTAACTGGATACATTTATGCACATTTTTTATGAATGCTGCCAAGCACAGGCACAGGGTATATGAGCAGTTGAAAGGGCTTTGTCAGCATTTCAGAAATCAGCAATTAAAACTGATATTTACTAGAACTAATTAACTGGAATTTTTAAGAAGGTTAAGAAATACTTTTCAGAAACTCAGATCAGACTGTTATTTCTTTTTTTAAATAAATAAATTTATTAAAATTAAACACTTTAAGATTTCTCCCCTTTCTTTAAAAATAAATACCTTCAACAACTTAAACTCAAACTTAGGACTTAACATTTAAATTAAATTAATAGTTTTCCTCTACCTCTATATACCCAATGTATTAAAACTCCGACTGAAGGGAACACAAATATAATAATTTGAATTGTAATTGATGCCTGGCAGAGCAGGATCTGGATCTGGACACACACACAGAGCCCATTAGGTAGGGCTGGGAGTACAACCCCTTTTACCTGAAGCGTGCCAAAAAATAACGTTAAATAAATGCTGAAAATAATATTCAACCCCGCTGTAAAAAAAAATAAAAAACATAAAACAAAAAGGCGGAAAGAGACAAAGAAATGAAATGAGAAATTCAATTGTGGCCTCGGCGACTGCGGCCGGCTGCCTTCATGCATATTTAAATGAGATTTTGCGTTAACTGAATTTTGTCAACGGTATTCTACGGCCGGGGAGTTGGCATATGTGGGCGTGTGGCCATGAAAACCCCTATTAATTTATATATATACATATAGATGTATATATATATTTAAATAAATTGGGTTCCCATTCGCATTTTTCCTGTATTTTTTCACTTTTTGCAATTTTTGCCGTTCATTTAACGCATGGTAATGGCTCTAGGAGGGGCGTGGCAGGAGGGCGTGTTGTCGCATATGTATTTTAAATAGGATGCAGACTCCATTAGCATATAAATTGATGCGGCAGCTCTGGTTGAGTGGATAAGCAATGGCAGAGAAAAAAGTGCCAAGGATCCTTATAACATGGCTACTGCTCGTAACTGTTAACTAGCATTTGGTTGAAGAACTAACACCCACCAAAAGTATCGGAACAAAACAACAGCAACAGCAACAAGAACAAGACAGGAACAGGAACTAGCCCCAAGCTGACAAATTGACTTCCGTTTCCGCTAAAATATAACGAAAGAACGAACAAGTACTTAAGCATACTTAACGAGAAAGAGAGACGCAAACATAACCAAATTAGTCATTAGTTGATATGTCAAGCCGTTTATTTATTTACACCAACATACCCCACTCCCCCCTCAAGGACACCTTCTTCCCTACTCCCTAATCTTAACTTAAAATTAACACACTCGAGCGGAGAAATATATTTATAGCAACATGTATTTATATGTTACGGGGCGCAGAGCGAATCCAAAATTGTATCCTTCTCGTCCCTGGCCCCTCGGTCCGTACCTAAATCGGGGCGGACTGAACTAATCACATATCCTTCAGCCACACACACAGCTACACACACACACACACACACACACATATTATAATAAAATGTTTTTTTTTTGTGTCAGACTAATACGAATATCAAGTGCGTGTGTGTCCAGACGGAAGAATTATTCATACGATAAGCTAAAAAATATAAAAAAAGGGAATATATAAACGTATAATACACATAAATATAATCAAAAAGCCACACGAAACAGCATTTTTTTCTTAGATTTTTTGTAAATACTCAAAAAATACTCGAGGGCCGATTATGCGGAATTATTCACATTGATTTTTGCTAATTATTACGTTGAGCCACACTCTCACACACACACACGCCCACGAGAAGCAGGAGCTGAGGAGGAATTCACATTGTCTGATATTAAAGTATTGTAGTTGGTACTTATATAATATATATATATATATAAAAGATAAATATTAAACTATGATTAATCATAACAACACATATGATATGCAATTTTTGTGGCGAGAGATGAAACTATATCAAAGACAAGCAGATGGCGGGGCAGCCCAGTTATATATATAAAAATAAAAACAAAATATATATATATATATCATTTATGTGTACTTGAGAAAGTAAAAAACCGAAAAAGCAAAGCAAAAAGAGCATGAAAGTTTAATCGAATTAAGTGGACAAATTGCTAATAATAATAATAAAACTAATAACGAGATCAAAGTGATGTTTTTTATATATTCTATTGTGGCAGTGGAATGGTTACCAGGTGAGTTGTTGTTATTTACTTTTAAGATAATGAATTTTCCAGGTGTAATAATAAATAAGGATGCATCTTTTGAGCTACAGACATGGGCAACAAAGCCCCAAAAGTATGCCAGATTCTTGTACTTTCGTCTGTTGCACATGAATTCAGCTGCATATTTTTTTAAAAGCATACTTTCACACTGTCCCCAATATCGAATCGGTGTATTATTTTAAATATTTAACTTGATAGTTAAAAATTAGCAAAAAACGTGAAAGCTCTCAACGTAGTAGGCAGATATATTAACCTTATAAAAACTAACTTTAAGGCATTTTTAACTTACTTTTCATCAAATTCAATTGCGGTCTCAGCTTTTTTTCTGGTGCTTTACCCTAATTGTTCTTGTAATAATTACGATCCAATACATTTAAATATAGAATTTACATATATATAACAGATAATTTGAAATGAAATTACCTTAAATACCTACTCTCTACAAAACCATTGAGCTGACGCAGAGAATTACCTCACCCCTTATTCGGGGCCCTTGGGCTCATCACCATCAGGGAGGTGATAAAGGCGTCTCGTCGGGAGCTCCTGCTCCGCCCGGAGCATCATCAGCACTTCTTATTGATTTTGCATAAGCAGTTTATTGTGCTGGGAACAGCCTGAGACTGGGACTGGGATCCTGTCGCCTGTCGTCCTGCCACCCAATTTGCCTTGGCAAGGACCCAGTCAGCCCTGGACCTGGCTCGCAATCTCGGCCTGTAGTCGTCCTTGGCCGGGGCAAAATTAATTTAAAGCGCAATTTAAGTAGAATTTGCGCCCAGGGCCGTTTCTTAGTTTTATTTGAGCTTTGCTCTCTCGCCGGGAGCAGCAGCAGGGGCAGGAGCAGGACTCTGGATGCTGGATGCTGGATGCAGGACTGAAACTAATACGCATATTTATCAAATTTCAAGGCCCCGGGGTGGCTGCTGCTGCCGCTGCTGTTGCATCCCAAGTCGTGCCCAAAATGTAGAAAAAAAAGTGCCTGCAGCGCTTCCAGTTTCGGCAGCAAGGACTTTGCCAGCGAGGTGGTGGTGAGCCTTCTGCAGGATGTGCGGCGGGCGTCGGTCGACGGTCGACCGCAATGCAAAGCGACGGACCAAGTTTTTGAGTCTGGCAAACTTGACAAAGAAATAAAATGCGCCGCGTAGTAAGTGCTGAAGCGTTTCTGTGAGGAGTGCTCGACTAGGGGATACCTCAAAGGCGGCTAGAAGGAAAGTCCTACATTATAACCTTAAAATCCTCAAAATTACCCACTGCAAAATCCAAAGAAACTCTGCAAATCCTTTGTTGAATGGCATCAAGAAAGGATTCTCCCACTAAAAGCCCCCGGAGACGGTTTAATTCTGCATGCTCATGGCATTGGGTAACACGGAATGCTGAAAGGGAGCAAAAAATAATCCGAATATGCGAAATCAATACTCTCCCTGCTAAAAGGTATCACTTCCATATAACGTACACAAAAAAAAGAAGGGAAATAAACGCTGAAACTTGGCCAGGGGGTGGTGGGTGTACCGAGTTAGTTGGACGCGAACGAGTTCTGTGGTGGCGATGGCTCATAGGCTGCGCCGGTCTGGTTGCCCTGGCAATGCCAGGACAAAGGGGGGCGGAGAGATGAGCGTCTGTCAGCGGCAGACAGGAACCGGGGGCACATCCCCCTCACACCCCCCTGGAAAGCCACCCCAAATCGCCAACGCCAACGCCAACCCCCTTGGAAGCTGCACGCTTCATAGGCGCAACGAATGAATTTTAATTTGATTAAAGTGAAAAATTGAAAAATGCTTCCTTGGCAAAGCTTTCCGCTTTCGCTTTCACTTCATATTTATTTCTTTTTTTCAGGACTTTATTAAACTGGCTGGCGGGGGGGCAAGGATATGCGGGGATTAGTTGGCCAATCAGCGGAGACGACGGAGCCAGGCAGCCAGGCAGCCGGGATTTTGTGGCCTGCTGCACAAAACCTCATCGTCAGTTGGCGGCGTTGCGTTGCCATGGCCAGAAATGCCAAATGCCAAATGCCGATTGACGACATCGTTGCTGTCCCCTGCGGGAAAGTACTCACCCAACTCCCCCTTTGAGCAGCTGAGAGTGAGGGCTTAGGCCGTATTAAACCTTTTTCCCCAATAATGTTGTTTTTGTTACGCCTCCAGGCGGTTGGGGGAGAGAGCCCGGTCCAGGGATGGGGGCCAGAGCGCAGCCAGAGATGCTTAGCCCGGCTAAGAAGCATTCTTCTCCTGGTCGGTCGTCTGCTGGAATTACGCCGCTTGGATTTCAAGTGCTGCCACTTGTTGTTGCAGCCCCGAATGCCACACAAATGTGGCCAGGGACAGGTCTGCCTTTGGATTTCCATTTCGATTTAAAAATGAGCTCCCTCCCCCCGTCATACTGAGTCCGCTCCTGGCGTCAAGACAAGCCCCACTGCGGATCTATAGTTGCAGGCAGCCGGAGGTCAGGGGAAGCCAAGGGAACCCAGGAGAAGCCAAGGGAAGCCAGGAGACGCCAGTCAAGTATAACAGAATTTTGCACTGAACCCTAAACGCGACGAGGTCCTGGAGTAGTGCTGCGGGATGAGGAATCCAGGAAGTGAAACTGCGGTGCTGGAATCCCACCAATGGCATCCACATGGGGCGCATTGTGAAGTGCAAAAAAGGCGCATTTTACAAGATTTTTATTACATATAAATGTGAAAAGTATTAAAAAAGTAAACTTTTTATAGACTTTTCATTTTCTCTTTGCCGTTTTTTGGGGCGGGGTGAAAAGAAGTTGTTCGCTTTTCGTCTGGGCGTCATGATGCGTGTTAAGGGAATACACACACACCCCAAACACACACACACACACACACACACACAACCAGAACATCTTGCCATGGAAATGCTTTCACTGGGCTACAAGAAGCCCAAGGATGAGTGCGCTACGCTTAGCCAGGATGTTACTTGGGGTCTAGCAAGTGTTTGGAAACTAAAAGGGAGTTGTTTATTGAAGTAATTATTATTATAATTATTAAATTTAATTAAGGGATCATTTATTAATTCCTTAGCTTATTTAAGACAACAAACCTCACCTCAAAGTATGCTGATCTCCAGCTAAGTTTGATTTATACTTTTTGGCATACTTTTGGGCAGATATTCTTGTACATATTCCAGCTATATTCTTGCTATATATTACTTGATATATACTTGATATATTCTTTACAAAGCTAGTGTCCTTCGAAGCCGGCTCAGCCGAAAGAAAACCCGCAATTCTCCGCCGGCATCTCACACTCCTTTGGGGCATCCAACGCTCCGCCCCTTCAGCTTCACTCGCTGTTCCTGTTATTGTTGCCAGTGCTGGGATTCGGTTTGTAAGAGGAAGGAGACGGATCCAGAAGGGAAAGGGAAATGGCAATGGAAATAGCAAAGGGAAAGGGTCTGGACCCAGAGACGGGACCGTTGCTGTCGCTGTAACTGTTGTTCCGGGCGGGAGTTACTGGGCCCTTTTTGTTACCACAGACTTTTCATATTTTTCTTAACAATTTCGCCACCGCCTCTCCCTCGCACACTTTTTAAATTTTATTTTATTACTATAACAAGACATAAGTAGGCATAATGGGGCCCTATAAAATATTCAAAAGGAAATTGGCATAGAAAGTTTTCAAGCCGAGGGCAGAGTTTGTACGGTTACGGTTGCGTTTACGAGTCCTTGCTACTTGTTCCTGGGTACTTCTTATTTTTTTGCCACATTCAAGCGCGCAAGGCACTCCGAACCCGGACATGGACCCGGACCAGGAGTCTTGCTGTCACCTCGAGGAGCAGGCAGAGCGCGTGTTAAGCGATTAACAGTGAGGTTAATGCACTCCAAACTTGAAAACTGAAAGGCAGATGCACTGGAAACTTTGCCCTAGGAAGATCAAGGTACTAAAAGGTGTAAATGTATGGACATGGCTAGATTGACTCGGCTGTTGATGCTGATATACATATATATACTTTATAGGGTCGGAAATGTCTCCTTCACTGACTTCTGACTGAAATTATAATACCCTGTAAGGGTATAAAAATAAGCTTAAGCATTTATTAAGTGTAACATACAAACTAAAGAGATATTTAGGTATTCTTAGTGGTATAAAAACTCTTACAAAACTCAAGTAAATATGTCTTAAAATTTATAAAGGCTTGCTTAAAGGTTTTCTGATTGCAATTTTCCATGATTTTCAATTTTAAAGTTTTTTTTTTTAGCAAGAAACCCCTCTTTTCCTAGCCTTTACCTTAGCCTGAAGAAAACTCTAAAGAACATTTTTATTTGGGCCTTGAGTGGCACCAGCCAGGACTTCCGTGCCTGGGCCAATTTGTATATAGTATATGGCATCCTCCCAGTCCCCGCCCCCTGCCCTCACCCGCTGTCAATCATTTTCACAAGCGATTTGTCAGGCAATGCCGCGATGCAAATAAGCCGCGACAGACCCCAAACTTGGTGACTTTTTTTTTTCGGCGGGATCATCATGATTTTTTACAACTTTTCATTTTTGCGCTCGAGCTGCCTTAACTGCCGCCAGGAAGAAGGGAGCTGGAGGTGGAGCTGAAGCTTGGGAGAAGCAAGGAGCAGCATATGTGGCGGCTCAAATTCGGAAATCCTGCCGGGTTCAGGCCACTATTCAAATGAGCAGCTCTCGTCAAATGGCTTGGAAAATATGCTTTCTGGGAGGCGGAGGCGGAGGCTCGGCTTTCACTGGCTCCCTCCGCCCTTCTTGAGCACCCTGAGGCGCGAGTAGATTATGTCCCAGTCGAGATAGGCGCCCACAATGTACCGCGAGTTGCGTTCGGTGTCGTCGTAGCCGGTGCGGCCATGGAGCAGCCGGATGTTGTTGAAGGTCAGCACGTCCCCGGGCTGGGTCTTGAAGGCGTGGGCATCGGCGCGGGCCAGGCGGACGAAGCGGGCATAGGACTCGTACCAGGGCTGGACCTCGGCCAGCGGCACATTGAAATGGCTGTCCCGCTGAGGGACGCTGTGGTTCACCCGCGTGTAGCGTCCTTGGGCATCCAAACTACAAAAGATCGGAAATTAATACAGCTTGACAGGGGGAGGACTTCCACCCAGACTCACCATATCACCGGCGCCCGCCAAATGTTGTGGAACTCGCGTCCATCCTCGCTGCCAATGTCATTCCAGTCCACCAGGACCCGACTGAGGCGCTCAAAGTCTTCGGGATAATCGCGCCGCAGAATGTCCGCAATGTGGAAGGCATCCACCAGCAGGTTGCTGCCACCGACCGACTCCGTCTGGACCACGCAGTGCAGGATGTTGACGCTGGGCTTGTACTCGTAGTAGGGCAGGTCCGTGTGCAGGGGCAGCGGCAGGGAGAGATAGGCAAAGTTCTGGGCACCGGGCTTGGCCTGGACCACAAACTCCTCGCCGTAGGTGGTGCGTCGGATGAAGCCCACCCGCTCGGCCAGGCGCCTAACCACGCCCTCGTCCAGGGGTGCGCCGCGGAGCAGAGCCACGCCGTGCACGGCCAGCGACTGCAGCCACTCCAGCAGCACGGCGTCCTGCTGCATCACCTCCTCGTAGCTGAAGTGGCGGGCTATCGTAGGGAACTCCGCTCCGGACCAGTGCTTGGTGAGCGGCCGGTAAAAGTCCGCCAGGTAGCTCTGCTGACGCTTCTCCTCGAAGCTGCGTTCCCGCAGCCACTGCAGGGAGAAGCGGCTCTCGTGGGAGTCGCTCCACTGCACCACCAGCTCCTTGTCCGGCTTTTGGTCCTCGGTGCGCAGGCTCACCGGCTTGACACCGGTGTCGAAGTTGTCCCAGTCCAGCTTGCGTGAGCGGGAGCTGCCGTGGAAGCACTCCGGGCACAGGCAGTTGTCCCTCAGCCACACGCCCGGAAAGGTCAAGGGCTGCGAGTCCTGCTCCGGCCGCACCTCGATGTTGGTGTTGTCCACTATCCTGGCGCTGATCCGGCGGTGTAGCGAGGAGGAGGCGGACCGTGTGGCCAGGGCGCGACCCAGTCTCTGCGCCCACATGGTGACGTTGTTGCGGCGGCCTCGAGCGTCTGCAGCGGAATGAGCCGGCGGAGAAAGCGTAAGGGAAACTGAAACCGAAAACGAGAACGAAAACGATTTCCCCCAGATCAGCATTTGGATCGGGTCTGTGGACTTTGGATGCCAGCTCACCGCGACGACCAGGGCAGGGGCGTAGCTGGGGGTATTTGTGTGGCCTCAAGGGGGTTTTTTATAATTTTAGGAAAACGTTTGTCAGGCATTAAAGCGGTTCTTTAGGGGGTCTGTAAGCACTTAAGCCCGCTGTCAACCCCCTTACAAAAATCATGTCTCCGTCTCTGCTTATCACCAGATGGCGTTATCAAGAAACGAAATTGTTGATATGTGATCTCTGCCAAGTGAGCTCTTTGGCGAAGGCGACACGCTTGGGAAGCAGAAAAATAAGATTAGAATTCCAAGTCTCAGTCTCAGAGGGGTATTTGTTATCAGCTTTGCTGTGTGTTGTTTATACCCCAACAGAAGGTGACTGGGAAGAGTTTTTAATTACATTTTAAAGTCAATGAAACCGGTTTTAGAAGGGATTAAAAACTGGAACACTTTATCGACCTTCTTGTAAACAAATTCCGCTAATTCCAAGTTGCAAGTCAATCAGTTTGGTCACAAAGGCCACATTTGCTTGACGTCACTGCTGATAAGTCGGTTTGCTGCTTCTCCCCCCACCTCCCATTCAGGCAGGCAAGCGGTCAATCAATCAATCAATCAATCAATCAATTGAATCATCTTTGTATGCCTGCGGGCCTAAAGCCTTTAAAAGGGCCTCCACCGGATTCTCGTGAAAGCAATAAAAATTGCAGCGCCTTCAGCGGCCAAGGCTGACCTGTTGCACAATTGAATGGAGAGCACAGGCTGTGTGGCAGTTGCAACTGGCCGGGCAAGGGGTGGGAGGTATAAATACACTGTACGAAATGGGGTGAAACTTTGAAAGTACTTTCAATAAGTACTTTTAAAGGATTAAGAGGGGTTTTATAGCCTTGGAAAAGCTGCTCCAAAAAAACATTTTTGCAAGGGGACACGTTTAAGTGTTTTTAAAACTCTCTTTGTTTATTTTTTTTGATTTTTAAATGCATTTAAAATACATAATATATAAAATCATAAGCCTTTAAGTGTACTCCCTGGCCAGGAGGTTCGTCCCGGCTCGGGACAGGGCCGGCGGATGCCCAAATGTCTGCTGGCTGCCCTGACCATTTACAGCGCGGACAATAAATTCTTCATGCGCGGCTGCCTGGGTGCCTCCTGCCTCCTGCCTGCACCCTGCCTCTGCCACTGCCGGAGGCTTTTGGAAATGTTGCAGAAATTCCCAAGCCGGCGGCCATAAAAATGCGGCTCACATGTGACAACGATTTGTACTTTAGCTCCTTTTATGGCCCCGCCTGTGGCCCGGCCTGGCTCCTCCTGCCCGAGGCTGTTGCATTTTTAAAAGCAACTCGGGCTCACTCTCGGGCCTGGCAAATCTCAAAATCGCATCAGATTATACGAGTTATGCGACGCAGCGATGGAGCTCCCGTTTTGGTCATCTGCCGTTGTGGCTGTTGTTCCGCTTTGTAGGTCATCGCCTCCTCCTCGTGAGCCCCTTCCACCCTCGCCTCAATTGGGTCAATTAACACTGACGACCCTTGAGGCTGCTGCTATCGCCGGATGCGGATAGGTCCTTCCAGTCCAGGAGCCCCCTCCCCCTCCCTTAGATATGCTGAGCGATTCGATGATTATCGTGTCACCACCACTCGGGGCGAGTCCTTGTTCTTGTCCGGAATGTTAACAGTTTTCGTTTCATGTAATTAAGTGCTGCTGATCCACTAGGTTTTATCTCCATCTTCAAGACGCGCCACCGGACGCAGTGAAAGCTCTCTCTTCCAACGCTCAAAAGCGAAACAATGGAGGGCAGGACAGTGGGCCAGTTGGGATGGGTTAGGTTAGGGTCCTAGGGTTTGGGTTTGGCTTGGGGTTGGGATTGGGTTGGATCTGGGCGGACAGTGTTTGCAAACTGTCTGGGCGAGACAACGCCGTACGTGCCGATGATGTCCGACGGTCACAGATCCGGCAAAGGGTATATTGTGAGAGCTGCCATAAAGGATAAGGAAGAAAGGGGTTCCGGCTGTATATAAAGAGGAGTTTTTGTTGTAATATAAATATATAATTAAATCTTTACCTGAAGCTATAGAAACCTAGAGAAAAGAAGCTAGTTTTCTAGGACTCTAAAGACTTACATTAGGTATCTCTTAGTCGTTTCTCCTGCCGCCTCTGATTGCACTTCAGCCAGGCAAGGACCAAGGAACAGGGCTCGAAGCGTACCGAAAAATGTGTTAAGAGTCTAAACACGAACGTGCTGCTCAAAGGCCACTCGTTAACAGGCGCCGGGAGGAAGTCCCCTCGTCGCGTCTCAGTTGACTCAGCACAACGTCCTCGAGTATCGGTATGGACAGCAGCTATTGGTAAATATTTTCACTGCGAGATGCACCCACTATCCCCGGGGAGAGGCGGCGCAACTAGCTCCATACACGGCTTCATATATCTTCCTTACCTTTTATTATTATCTCTTTTCTTTTTTTTTTTTTTGGAGCTTCCACTTTTCCGACGGGATAGCAAAAAGGCTCTCTCCTTTTGCAGGTGGCATCTGCAGCAGCGTCTGCAGCCATTTCATTTGGCTGCTTATTTTATTGCCTTCGAGCCCCAGCAGACAGAGACGGTTGGCAAACAAACAAACAAACAACCAAACTGGCAAACACCCGACTGGTTTAGGCCAGAGATCCCGGCCAAGACATGGCTCTATGGAGTCGTCCTCTTTTCTTTATTTCATTTCTTTGCTTTTTTTTTGGGGAGTCTTCATTACGAATGCGGCAGGAAAAACGAAATGCAATTCATTGCACAAGACATTTGGACTGGCAAAGGGGGGAGAGGCCAGGGAGATCCTTGAAGCTAAGGCAAAGCACTCCTGGAAGCTACAGCTGCGGCAGGAATCGAAATCCTTGGGCTAACAGAGTTTCCATTGTTTTACCCAAACTAAACTAGGGATTATTTTAGGGAAAAGGATTATGTTCCATGTAAAGGATAGATGTTTAAACAAATACAGAGTAATCTATGGCTAAAAGGACATCTTTCCCTTTCAAGACTTATTGGACATTCTCCATCTCCCCCCTGTTGCTTTAACTATTTTCTGATTATTTTCTGCTCAAGTTGCTGCGATTCAGATTCACTGCAGTTAGTTGGCTGATGAACTCGGCCACTTTAAGCCGGGTTTTCCCCCGCCCCGATTTTCCTCTGCAGTCTGCTCTGCCAGGAGCCCGAGAGTGCTGGCATAAGTGTGTTTATGCATAGAGCCTGCATAGTTTACACATTGTCTGCCGGCAAGCTTGACAGAGACGCCGTCTTCAGTAGATATATATATCTCTGTATATATCCGGTGTCCCGTGTCCCGTGTCCCGGGCTGCGACCTCGTCCTGCTGCCTCCGAGACCGAGGCTGCTGTTATCTTGTTTTCCTTGGCTGAGCTTTCGGTAAGCCGCGTCTAAATATCCTTTTTCCTCGCTGCAATTTTTACAGCTCATTCCGGGCGACACTCCTTGAGGAGTTGTTTGCGCATTGTTTACAGCTTTGTCCCGACTGGCATCCTTGCTCTTAATGCAGTCTGCCGTCTGGAGCTGCTCCTCCTCAAACTCCTTCTGGCCTGCCTGCCTGCCAAGTGCCGGGAATACAAATCGAATTAACCTCTTTATTTCGCCTCTTCCCCCAGCTGGGATTCCCCCCACTTAATTACTGGCCAAATGGGGCGTGGCTGCCGAAAAGTTACGGGACAATGCCACTTCCCATTCCGTTTTCCATTCCGATTGGGCAGTTCCGCTGGTTTCTTCGAGATCTTCCTCGAGTCCCAATTAAGCACAAGTGGCCATGTGTGGCAGCCGCCGTCAGGCTCTCCCCGATTTCCTCTGATTTTTCACTGGAAACTATTTCCAACTCTTTGCTTTGCTTTTGGCTCAAAATCAACAAACAGGAACCCGCCTTTGGCCCTCCTCCCACGGACCCCTCGGGGAAGTTGAAACGTGTTGCGGCATATATTAATTTTTATTTTCAACGACGCCGTCGACGAAAATTAACGTGGCTGCTGCTTTGAGGCACTGAAAATAATTTTTTATTCATATAACATTTTAAATTTTATAAGAAATAATAGAGATTTTCTACAAAAACTTAAGATTTCTTTTTGATTATTGATTTTTAATGCACTGAGAATAATTTTTAAATCATAAATATATTATAATAGAGATTTTCTTTAAGAATTTTAGACTATTCAAATAATATTAAAAAAATTGTAAGTAGATTAGTAAATTAAAGACTTTCTTCTTGATTTTTCTAAAGAACTTAGTGTATCCCTGTGGTATTTTCTCTCAGTGCACCTACTGTTTAGCTGATTCTGCTCTGCTTCTGCCTCGGCTTTGTTTGTTTAGCCACTGAATGATGGATCACACTCGCACACACGCACACTCCCATACACTGCACCGAAAGAGTTTCGAAAGCAACTTTTCCTAGGGATTCCGGTAGCATTTTTCCCCCCAAGAGAAAACCTGGGAAAACCGTTGTTTGTGCCTCAAACCCCGCTGCCTTTGTGTTTGGCATGCCCGCTCATTATTTTCACACGTAGATTGACACGCCCCATCTCCATACCCTTAACCCATGCCCCCTGGAACTGCCCCTTTCCCTCCCCCCCCTACTCCACCCCCTTAGTATAACAACATACACACACACACACACACACTCGCAGCATTTTGTTTATATTTTAAGGTAATTTTCTGGACCGCCGCCGCATTACTTGCAACTGTTGCGCCTACAGAAGCCATACCCCTCTCTCTCCCTTTCCCTATCCCCCTCTCTCTTACTCCCTCTTGATGTACACAGGACCGTCTCTCCTCCACCTCCCCCCGGATGGCCATAAAAGGTCAATGATACTTACAGTTTGAACAACTTTCAAGGGGAGTGGGTGGAGGGGAGAGCGGGTGCCATGGGAGGCCCTGGAACGAAGTGTTC